AGGAGGAATTAAAGAACCTCTTAATGAAGGTGAAAGAGGAGAGCGCAAAAAATGATCTGAATTTCAACATAAAAAAAATGAAGATCATGGTCAATGGTCCCATTACCTCCCAGCAAATAGAAGGAGAAGATATGGAAGCAGTGACAGATTTTACTTTCTTGGGCTCCCTGATCACTGCAGATGGTGACAGCAGCCATAAAATTAAAAGACGCCTGCTTCTTGGGAGGAAAGCGATGACAAACCTAAACAGCATCCTAAAAAGCAGAGACATTACCGTGTCAACAACGGTCCTCATAGTCAAAGCTATGGTTTTTCTTGTAGTGATGTATGGAAGTGAGAGCTGAACCATAAAAAAGGCTGACCACTGAAGAATTGAATTGTGGTGCTGTATGAGACTCTTGAGAGTCCCCTGGACTGCAAGGAGATCAAACCTATCAATTCTGAAGGAAATCAACCCTGAGTGCTCACTGGAAGGACAGATCCTGAAGCTGAGGCTCCAGTACTTTGGCCATCTCCTGAGAAGAGAAGACTCCCTGGAAAAGACCCTGATGTTAGGAAAGTATGAAGGCAGAAGGAGAAGGGGCCGACAGAGGACGAGATGGTTGGACAGTGTCATCGAAGGAACCAACATGAATTTCACCCAACTCTGGGAGGCAGTGGAAGACAGGAGGGCCTGGTGTGCTCTGGTCCATGGGATCACGAAGAGTCGGACATGACTTAACGACTAAACAACAACATGTATCATCTGCAAACAGTTGTTGAAAATATAAATGAAACGTCACACCTGTTTTTGAATTTTGTGTAATCACATGGTCCTCGACACTTCTGCCAAAATACATTAGCCATTTCCGAGGTTCAACAAGAATGGGATGTTCTGTGTAGGTTACGTTGTAATAGGTGCTTTGAGAAACCAATTCCACAGAAGATGTGAGGGGAAGAATAAGCAAATGAGTGTCCTCTAGACCAAGAGTCCCCAACCCCTGGTCCGTGGCCTTGCCAGTACTGGGCCGCAGAGACAAATCTCCTGCCCCCCCACATGCACAGATGCATTCATGCCCCTCCCATGCATGCATGGCCCCTCCCACACATGTACAGACGCACACATGGCCCCTCCCACGCACACACAGCCTCTCCCATGTACGTACAGATGCACACACAGCCCCTCCCACTTATGCATGGACAGATGCACGGCTACTCCCATGCACGCACACACGGGCCGCCAACATGCACATGGACAGCCCGCCCCCCACACGCATGCTAAACCAGTCTGTGGAGGCAAAAAGGTTGGGGACCACTGCTCTATACTTTTTGGGTTACATTACTGATACCTGTCTTCCAGAAGATCTGAAAAGAACCAGATTCCTTGCTTTCCAGAAGAAGCTAGATATACTGAACTCTCATTGAAATGAATCAGTGGAACCAGACGGTTATGTTCAATGCATATCAAATTAATTGGATGGCACTTAAGGTCAGCTCATTCTCTCTCAATGAGGACTCGTTTTTTTGTTGTCAGTGCCACAAATTAATCAAATATGTTTTAATGTACTGTACATCTACAGGTTTAGCTGAGTAATCCCTTTGATTATAAGCACTCATAGCCCTAAATCTTTTTAACAACTATGGGATTAAAAGCAAAATGCTCATCTAGTCTTCCATCCTGCTACCCATGGTGGCCAAACCATTTTTTTGTTGTTGTCTTAGTGACTTGTTTATTTGAATACCACCTCCCCCAACCTAGTGCCTGTCAGACACTTGGCTACAGTTCCCATTATCCCACCCAGCCTGGCCCTGGCAGATAATAGGAGTCATAGCACAATACATCTTAATACATCATTTTTTGTATGTTGAAATTCAGAAATCTTGGCCGGCAGAGGTGGTGGTGAAGGTTTCTGGGAGTTGTAGTCCAAGAACATCTGGAGGCCCAAGGCTGGAGACCACTGTCTTAAGGGCACTAAGGTGTGGAAGGCCATTTAATAGAAAAAGTGCTTAAGGGCACTGAGTTGTGGAAGGCCATTTAATAGAAAAAGTGCTGAGGCAGATCAGATGCTTCACATACATAACTGTGGTGATCCATGCCTGCTGAGTTGACTACCCTACTGCTCTCTTGAAGTGTGTTATGAGCCGACAGACGTGGACAAGGCATCCAAGCCATTCTTCTCAGACAGCTGGAAAACCCTGGCCTGCATATCGCCCAACCTCCGGGAACTCAGAGCAATCAGTTGGACCCTGGGATATCCTGCGCCAGCAGGTAAAGCACTTTTGAGAGTGGTGGTGAGGAATCTTTAAAAGTATTTGTTTATCCTATATGTTATCTCATGGTATGTTTTATATAGTAGGAGCCCCCTATCTACTGATTCATTTTTCTGTTGCCTGAAAATACTAAATAACAAACCTCAGAAGTATGTATTTATATGTTTCAGGGGGAGCCAGAGTTCATGCCATGTATACCATATGATATCCCCGTGTTTTTCAGCATCCATTTGGAGGGGTTGTAATTAGAGATGGGGACAAATATAAAAAGGGATCGCTTTTTCCAACAAATATAGCCAATTCTTTAAATATTTGTTGATCTGTATTTGTTGGTTCCTGTGGGGTGGGGGTGGCTGCCTATTGGCCTCCAATCAGCTGATCAGTGGCCAGTAGGCAGAATGGGCATCTGTGCTGTGTGGTAAACTCTCCTGGGGTGACCCGGTTTGTGGGTGAATAACGCAGATGTCAGATATCCAGTCTTCACCAACCTTGGCAGGTGTGTTGGGGAAAGACATAGGAAGTGCTGTTGTGATTCTGGAATATCTAAGTACCGGGGAGGGGGAGCTTTCCTAGGGGGTCCTCTTTGTGACTATATGACACAGGGGTCCATTAGCCAATGTTCACCAAAGCTTCCCTGCAAATTTGGTGTCTCTGGGCAGTTGGGGCCCAGTGTTATAGCCATTTAAAATGAAGATGGATCGATGGAGCGATTCGTGGAAGAATATTTGTATATTTGTATTCGTTGAAAGATGGATCGATGGAGCAATTCATTGAAGAATATTTGTATATTTGTTTTTGTTGATCTGTTAACCTTGACGAATAACGGATCAAAATGAATTGTTATGTTTTTGATTTGTCCCCATCTCTAGTTGTAACTGATCCTTTGTGGATACTGCGATCCTACTGTATATATAGTCAGGTATCCTTGGGCTGCACAGGCAGGGCAAGTGCAGCCTGATATGAGCAGTGGCCAGTCTGTCTCTGCTTCCATGCCTCACTCCACTTCTATGGTTGTGGGCTTGCTTATGAGAGTTAATGACATTTTGGAGTCTCCTAAAGGCATCTGGAGGGCTGCAATTACTGTTGGGCTAGAGAAATCACCTGTTCACTTTATGAATTGCCAAGAAGTCCCAATGATACAGAGAAAGCCTTGATCCATGGTTTTATTATGGCTTTGATGCTATGTCACAGGTTTCCAATCCCTTTCCAGATCTGCCTTCTAAGCTGGATGCCATCCTGGAGATTGCTGCGACCCTGGCCTGCCCCTTGCTGAAGGAGTTGCACTGTGTTATGGTGACACTTGGCCAACATGGAGTCCTGGTGTGTGGACGGAATGTGGGCGGGAGTGTCTCTCTTCACCCTGGAATTTGCAACAAGGTAGTAGCACAAAAAACAAACAAACACAAAGGGTAAAGATGAGGAAGGTGTGAGAAAGGCTGTAATTTGAGATGGAGAACACTTAGGAAACAGACAGTAAGGGCGCCTAAGAATGAGGGGCATATAAGACATAATTTTCCATTCCCTTGTAATATTACTATTCCCTCAGTTCTTTGGCCTAAATCCAGTTGCTACTACTGAATGGAGTAGATCAGTAGACAACTGAATTTTTATAAGCATTGACCTATCACTGAGCAATTGATTCAGCAAGACTCTGCTAGTCGGGAATAACTATTGGATTTAGGCCATTGACTGTTAAACCAGTTGAAAATCCTGCTACAGTATGTACACCCTATTCAGAAGAACAAGTGTGGTGTAGTGGATAGAGTGATGGACTAGGACTTGAGAAGACCTAGGTTTGAATCCCCACTCATTCATAGACACTTACTGGAGACAGCACTGGTAAAGCTGTCCTTTAAATATCTCGTATACTTCAGAAACCTTACTAGGGTTGCTGTAACTCAGACGTTACTTGATGACACACAGCAACAGTAAACTTAGGCTGTAATCAGCACCAGGCAAATGTCCCCCTGTAGTTACACAACTTTGAATTGCATTCCTATCGGGCTTTGAGGTCACGTGGCATTTATTCCAGGATGTGCATCCCAATGTGTTTCTGGGTTGCCAAGTCATTTCCTTCCAATTCAGTATTAGCTAGAACTTCTTGCTGAGACTGTTTGATAAAATTTAACTGACACATTGACACAGGATTTTTTTTAAAAAAAATTGAACGTTTAAAGGACATACACTGTGACAGTAGTTCAAAAAAAGTTGTGATAAGATCATTCACACATGCAGCAATGCAACATCTTTTTTAAAAAAATCCACAACAAAAAAAAGTAGACACCTCTGGTCACAAGAGAGATTATCTACAGTTAGCACGTTTGCCGGGTTAATGGTTTGCTAATGGTTCTGTATCATGTGACCGCAAATTTAAATTGTAAAATCAAAGGGGGAAGAATGAAAACATTTCATTGGTGTGACCACAACCTTAGAAACTCACTCCTGGGTGGTAGAAATGAAACACTGAAACACTACCAATCTCTCTTTTGATGTTGATACTGCAGGAATTTTCAGACATGCTTTTTAACTAGGAGGATCAACAGCCTCCTTTAAAAAACGAGAGAACAAGTAGAGATTTAGCAGTAGTCAGTATCTATGTTGTATATTTGACATCCAGGATCCAAAATTATTGTCTATTTAAAAGCATGATGCTGAAAAGCAAAGCACAGGTTGCTGGTTATAGTATATATGTGGCTCCATAGTTCTTAAAGCACTCTGTGCATGGTTTACAATTTAATTATGCAGACTACGCACACACACCCGCTCCCCAGGTGAGCTGAGCATTCAATTTATCAGCCTCGGAAGGATGGAAGACTAAGTCAACCTTGAGCCGAGTTCTTAAGCCTGTTGGGATTGAATTCAGGTGGTGAGCAGAGTCTTAGTTTAACCCGTGTGACAAGGCTCCTGAAGAGTCTGCATCTGTTACCAGAAAAATATTTTGTAATGCCGGTCTAGAGCATTGGTTCTCAACCTGGGGTCCCCAGATCCTCTTGAACTAAAACTCCCAGAAGCCTTCACCACAAGCTGTGCTGGCCAGGATTTCTGGGAGTTGTAGCCCAAGAACATCTTGGGACGCAAGACTGGGAACCTCTGATCTAGTGGTTTGCAGTAACTGCAAGAAATCACTTTACTGTACTTCTCAAGGCTCGCAGCCTTGCATTTGCCTCTCGGATCTTCTGTTTCAGGGTGCTACGAAGGAGTTGTGTGCTTCTTACTACCCAGCAATCCCTGTCCCTGCAGAGGAGATAGTGAATGTCTCAGGCGCCGGTGACAGGTATCTTGCTAACTGCTTGATGAGAGATGGGTGCCATCCCTGGGGGCATCCTCCGCCTTCTTCTGTTTGGTCTCTGCCACTTTGGTTGCTGGGACAACATAACAGGGCAGGCATCACTAAGGAGCAATGGTTCCAAATATTTATCAGGAGGTGGTGAAAGATGGGGAGCTTCTTGTGAGCTGTTGTTTCTTTCAAAGAGAAAGAAATGGGGCCAGCGTGTATGTTTCCACCCAGGCATCTTTGCCCTTTGTGTGTTGAGAGGCAGCAATTGTTAGAAGCACCTGGATTGTCTTAGGAACTGCATCAGTCTTCAGGAGGGAGAGAGCTCATCTGGCAGTCGGATAAATTGGGAGCCCTCAGCACCTTTGAGACTTACAATGTTTCTTATTGACTAGCAGTCCAAACATGGACCGCCTGAAGCTTCCAGTGGTATGAGCAGAGGCTTGTGTAGCACTTCAACCAGCTGCAAGAGTACAATTTCCTTTCTGATTAAACTAGACAGCTCTCCAAAGGGAATAATAACCTTCTGAAAACTGACAAGCTATTTGGTGAGGTCGCCATATAAGTCTGTAGCATTCAAAGCAGGGAAGGATCTTGTGGCACTGTAAAGCCGAGCAAATTTTATTTGGCAAAAATGTTTGTGGATTGCAGCCCATTTCATCCAAATGAAATCATTCATTTGTATGTCTGATGTAGTTGCTTGCAAGCCACAAAGCTTTTGCCCAAAAAAAGTTACTTGTCCTTTTGAGCTGCCACAAGTCTCTTGTGGGATATACAGTGGTGCCTCGCGAGACGATTGCCTCGCGGGACGATTAATCCGCAAGACGGTGGGTTTTTGCGATTGCTGTTGCACTTCGCAAGATGGTTTTTCCTATGGATGATTTTCACAAGACAATGTTTGGATCTATGCTTCACAAGACAGGGGGTTTTTTTAGACCGATGCTTCGCAAGACAGTCCCCCCCCCAACATTGGAACGCATTAAGTAGATTCCAATGCCTTCCAATGGGGAACCGCGTTTCGCAAGATTATGTCTTCTATGGATGATTTTTGCAAGACGACCATTTTTCCCCATTGGAACGCATTAAATAGATTTCAATGCATTCTAATGGGGAACCGCGTTTCGCAAGATTATGTCTTCTATGGATGATTTTTGCAAGACGACCATTTTTCCCCATTGGAACGCATTAAATAGATTTCAATGCATTCCAATGGGGAACCGCGTTTCGCAAGATTATGTCTTCTATGGATGATTTTTGCAAGACGACCATTTTTCCCCATTGGAACGCATTAAATAGATTTCAATGCATTCTAATGGGGAACCGCGTTTCGCAAAGACGATGTTTTCGCAAGACAGTGATTTTCGCAGAACAAATTAACATCGTCTTGCGAGGCACCACTGTATTGCCTGTTTGTTGCACTACCGCACAGATGAGAAATGTGCAGTCCTCCTGCAGTTCCCATTGTTGGCCATGCTGTCTAGGGCTGATCGGAGTTGGAGTCCCAAAACATCTAGAGCAGCCATTCTCAACAAGAGTCATATGGACCCCTGTGGGGGCACTGACACATATGAAGGGAGGCACAGACTGGCAGTTCTTATGCAGTTTATACAATCCTGATTCAGCCTATATTCCTTTCATCTTGTGTTTATTGTCGTGGCAAAAAAAAAGTTGAGAATGGCCAATCTAGAAGGGCCACATCTCTCTTGCCACTTTTAGTTTGTTGGAAGCTATTCAGGGATGAACTGGAATTGATAGCATAGCTATGTCTCAATATACAGCAGAACCCAATGGCCAGAAAAGCAAGCCTAAATGTAGTTTCTCATTAAAACAAAGGCCTAAACGAGGCATGGGGAACTCACTTGTTGTTTTGGACATCAGTTCCCTTAACCTCTTAAAACTGGTCATTGTGTAGCTGATGGGGGTTCAAAAGAAAGGACATTATATGCTGCCTGTGGGCAGTATGTACAGTATGTATGCATTTGTTTGTTTAAAATAATTTTACTCCACCTTTCTCCTTAAAATGAGCCCAAGGCAGATTATATCATTAAAAGACAATATTTAAAATCTTAAAAAAAGTAAGTATACAAATATTTTTTTGAAACAGCAAACAAATATTACTATTAAAAATGGTAAACAAAAAACACAAAAAAAGTAAGTATACAAATATTTTTTGAAACAGCAAACAAATATTACCATTAAAAATGGTAAACAAAAAACACAAAAAATACATTGGAGTAGTGAAGTACAGCCATGGATTTAAAAAATCCCTCTCAGACTGCCAGTCACTTAAGTAGTGGTTCCCAACCCTTTCTGAACCATGGACTGGAGGGGTTCCGTATGTGGGAGGGCAAGGCACCCCCTGCACTTGTGGGGGGCAGGGCACACTCATGCACATGCGCAGATGGGTGGGGTGCGCTCACAGATGGGCAGGGCACCATTGTGTGCAGGTGGGCCGTGAGTGTATGTGGGGTGCATGGGCGAATGCATGGGGGGCATGATATCTGTATCCGCAGCCCGGTCCTGCCATGGCTACAGATTGGCAACAGGTCTTGGACCGGGGTTTGGGGACCCCTGCACTAAAGGAAAGCCTGCCTGAAGAGAAAGGTTTTTGCCTGCTTGCAGAAGGCATCAAAGACGGGGCCAGCCTGGCCTCCTGTAGGAGGGAGTTCCAAAGTCTGGGAGCAACCACAGAGAAGGCTCTCTCCTATGTCCCTACCAGGCATGCCTGTGAAGGTGTTGTGATTGAGAGAAAGACCTTTCTTGATGATCCTGATATCTAAGGTGGCTCATTAAGGGAGATGTGGTCCTTAAGGTAGCTTGAAATCAAGCCATTTAAGAATTTATATGTTAGAACCAGCACTTTGAATTGTGTTGAGAAATGGATCAGCAGCCAGCGGGGCTGCTCTAATAAGAGGGTTATGTAATCCATGTAACCAGCCAAAGTCAGCAACCTGTTGTGTTTTAAACCCACTGAAGTTTCTGAGCACTTTAGAAAGGCAGCCACATGTAAAGCATGCTACAGTAATCCAGCCTAAGTATAACTAAACCATGTGTCATGGTGGCCAGATCAGACATCTCCAGGAATGGGTGGAGCTGGCACATTTAGTTTTAATTGTACAAACACATTAAATAGTTCAAGATTCCCTGAAATAATAATTACAATAATTATGTTAATTATAATCTGGGGAAGGGACCTGAATTTTTTCACTAATCTCTGAAAGCATTTCGGCTGACCAAATATTTGTTGCCTGAGGCAAATGCTCCTTTCCCCTCCTCCATATCTATGTACAAGAAGCCAGCCTGGCTCATAGATGAATTTCACTTTAACAACCCCAAGACAACCGTGTTCTCCATTGCACTTCAAGGGCAGGAGTATCTTCTTCTGTTCCTCAGCACCTCACTTTCATGGCCTGAATCAGTTGCCTCACTTTAAGGTTTGGATATGACCAATGACTAGGTTCCATGATCACTGCAGATGGAGACAGCAGCCATGAAATTAAAAGACGCCTGCTTCTTGGGAGGAAAGCGCTGACTAATCTTGACAGCATCTTAAAAAGCAGAGACATCACCTTGCCAACAAAAGTCCGCATAGTCAAAGCTATGGTTTTTCCTGTCGTGATGTATGGAAGTGAGAACTGGCCCATAAAGAAAGCAGACCGCCAAAGAATTGATGCCTTTGAATTGTGGTGCTGGAGGAGGCTCTTGAAAATCCCCTGGACTGCAAGGAGAACAAACCTATCAATTCTAAAGGAAATTAACCCTGAGTGCTCACTGGAAGAACAGATCCTGAAGCTGAGGCTCCAGTACTTTGGCCATCTCATGAGAAGAGAAGACTCCTTGGAAAAAACCTTGATGCTGGGACAGTGTGAAGACAAGAGGAGAAGGGGACGACTGAGGATGAGATGGCTGGACAGTGTCTGCAAAGCAACCAACATGAATTTGACACAACTCCGAGAGGCAGTGGAAGATAGGAGGGCCTGGCGTGCTCTGGTCCATGGGGTCACGAAGAGTCGGACACGACTAAACGACTAAACAACGACGATGACCAATGACAGATTCTGAGAAATGAGGAAAAGATTACTAAAAGCTTTGGCTATAAATGTGAGGTGGATGCATTTTATTGTGCATTGTCCTATATTGAGTGTGGTGTAATGGACAGAGTGTTGGACTAGGACCCAAGAGATTTGCAGTCAAATCCTTGCTTGGCTATGGAAACTCCGTGGGGAACAGCGATGGTAAACCATTTTTTGAACATCTTCAGTATTTTTAGCACCTTATTAGAGTCACTATAAGTTTGGTTGAAAAGTACATATTGGAGGCTTCGGCCTTTTTGGACCCATGTGAGAAGCTAAGAAACTTTCATGGGCATCTTAACAAAATGGCTGCCATGGGATGTAGCCAGCCTAGTGTGAAAGGACAAGAAACCTCTTAAAGAAATAGAGTCCAAGGCTAATTTTGGTTCAAATCCCAAATTCAAAGTTACATATTTGCCTCTAAAAAATACAACAAAATAACCATTTCACTAAAAGAATTGGGTGATGCTCTGAAAGCAAACAGGAAAACAGAATTAACACCCCTAACCTATAACACACATAGGCCCAAAACATTTTTGTGTAGTTATGTCAGCTTAACAACTTTTAGGGGCTTCAGGTTAAGAGATCAACATAGCTGTTATCTGTTGGGTGCTGAGTTGCACAACTCAACACATGGTTGAGGTTTATGGTGATCCATACTGACTGGGTTGCTATGCATTTTATTTGTTCAGTGTTACATGATGTATTAGGATCGAACTAAAACTGAAATGGCCTTGTTTGTTCTCTCCAGTTTGATGGCTGGAGTCATTGCCGGGCTGCTTGCTGGGGAGGACACAGACACCTGCATCCGACTGGGCCTCCTGTCTGCCAGCCTCTCCCTGCGTTCTTTTGAACCTGTTTCACCAGCGATCAATCCTACCAGCGTAAGTGTAGCGATGGTCAAGGCTCTGAGCTGGCCTGCAGCAAAGAGGTGGAAGCTGCCTTAGAAATTCTACTGAAGAGCTTAAGATGATACTCTATCCTACGTTCAGCTGTCTTGGTACTGGGAATATGTGGACACACTCAAATGGCCCTTTGGCCCCGATATGGACATTTTTTTTCCAGTTTGAAGCAAATGAGTTTTGTTCTTATTCCAGATTGACAGGAGGGGAGGAGAGCCCTGTCAAATGCTGCTCTGATTACTTCACATAGCCCAATTATTAGAAGTGTTCAAAGCATAACCACCATTATAACCTTTCATTACTCGAGGAAGTGTGAGCCCTGCAGCCTTTGTACACTGTCCAGATTAGGCACATTCACAGAGACATACTTAACTGGAATACATTTGTACTTCTGCTAATCAGGCAGAGAAGGTAACGAGCCATGTATGGCAGTGAAGTCCTGGACCCTTTACCACCTAGTCCTGCTCTTCTGCTTCAAGCAATTAGGAGGCCTCGGCCACTTAAAAGAACTTTCATCTGCTTCAGCCCCTTGGATCAGCTGCACTGTAATGGAAACTTGTGCCAAGCAAAATGTTTTAATCTTTAAGACGCCCCAAGATGTTCAGTTATTTTTGCAAGAGAATAATACAGCTGCTCCTTTTCGAACTGTCCTAATTTGGGAGTTTTAGCCAGGTGTTGCTCACCTGTTTTAAGGTCTGTGGCCCTAATCCAGCTACAATTAGTCACAACCCAGACTTTGCACACACTTAACCTATGAGTCAACCTTTCTGGGTATGTGGGACTTGCTTCTTGAGTAAATCTCCATAGGATGGATTGTAAATATGCTCCAGGGAAATACATGGATTGAGTCATTTTAAAGTATTCCCCATTGACAGCAACACAAAGTTTTCTTTTTGTTTTTTAAGTGGCAGCGCTGTAAAAGCCTGCCACTGAAGCCATGAGGCAATTGCTTTGAGTGTAAGCTCTCTGGAGACAGGGCTCTGTCTGTGTATTGCTTATGAAGCGACATAAAGCATCCGTATATCTAATAAACATGGAGATTAATTACTTGATTTTGGGCTATGTTGGCTATGGTTGATAGGAGTTGTAGGTCAGTACATCTGGAGGACATCATGTTGCTTGCTCCCGAAATTCAATTCTGTATCAAAGAATGTAGTCATGCTTCATGCTGGTGAAAGCTATCCAACTGTTTCAAAGAGGAGCCATACAGATAGGGTTTACAGTGGGGTCTTGACTTAAGAACCACTCTCATAGGAAAATATTGACTTGAATTACATACTTAGATTTGAGTTAAGAACTGAAAAAAAGATAGGAGTTGTAGGTCGGTACATCTGGAGGACATCACGTTGCTTGCTCCCAAAATTCAATTCTGTATCAAAGAATGTAGTCATGCTTCATGCTGGTGAAAGCTATCCAACTGTTTTGAAGAGGAGCCATACAGATAGGGTTTATCTAGCACTAGAAAAAACAGAGGTGGTGTGGGATCCACCTCAGGTATTATCAGAGCCACCCAAATGGAACTTGTGGAATCACCGTTTCAGAATTGCTGGCCTGAGGTGTTTCATATTTAAGATATGGTTTTGGAGGAGACCTGATTTATCAGTGATTATATATCAAAGATTCCTTTCCCCATCATTAATTCCAACAAAACCAAAATGAGTTCCAAGTTGGGATGTTGGAGAAATTTGCATTGTCTGCATCTTTAAGCTAACCAACCTAATTTGGACTTTCCAGACTCATGTGGATTGGAACATGGTTCTTTCTCTTTGAGTTTGTGCATGTCTCCTGATTTTGTAATGCAAATCGTTTCTTTAAAATGTATGCCACAAATGCACATTTAAGAGGAAAGTATGTAAATGGGAAATGCAGATTTGACCTGAGAACTTTTTGACTTGAGAACCGCCTTCCAATACGGATTAAGTTCTCAAGTCAAGACCCCACTGTATCTATCACTAGAAAAAACAGAGGTGGTGTGAGATCCACCTCGGGTATTATCAGAGCCACCCAAATGGAACTTGTGGAATCACCGTTTCAGAATTGCTGGCCTGAGGTGTTTCATATTTAAGATATGGTTTTGGAGGAGACCTGATTTATCAGTGATTATATATCAAAGATTCCTTTCCCCATCATTAATTCCAACAAAACCAAAATGAGTTCCAAGTTGGGATGTTGGAGAAATTTGCATTGTCTGCATCTTTAAGCTAACCAACCTAATTTGGACTTTCCAGACTCATGTGGATTGGAACATGGTTCTTTCTCTTTGAGTTTGTGCATGTCTCCTGATTTTGTAATGCAAATCGTTTCTTTAAAATGTATGCCACAAATGCACATTTAAGAGGAAAGTATGTAAAGAAAAAGCATATTCTAGGAAAGGAGGAAATGTTAGCGAAGTTTTTTTCTTTTAGCCCAGCCATCCCTTAAGGGATGTCAATGACCAGAAGTGATTGATAGGCTCAAAAAGGCATTAGGACTCTAAGAAATACTTTCCTTCATCTTGCACACGTTTCACCCTGCCTAAACAAGCATTTTTTTAAAAAACCAGCAAAGCTCATTCGCTGCCTAGCCAAAAGAAAAGGGGAAATGTTCCATTATCACAGCGATGGAGAAAGATGGCATTAGGCTTGGATGGAAGTTGCTGGCTTGCCTTTACAAAGAGATTGGGTGTTGCTAATAGGAGTAGGGTGCAAAGGAAAGGAAAGAGGATTTTCCAAATAAGAGGTATATATTAGAATTTCAGTATCATAAAAAGAAAAGAAAAAAATGGGTGGGGGAATCAGCGGGGAGTTCAAACCCATAAAAGGGGCTTCAACCATTCATGCAGAAAGAGAAAATAGAGAGAGAGAGAACGAACCCGTACCTGCATGGGCATACGTGCTGCTGCTTTTAATTCCTCCAGCAAGCTCCAAGGCAACAGCATCCCTTTCTCTGGCTAGCTGGGAGAGAAAAACAAGAGCCAAAAAGCAGGATGTGGGCTTCAAGAGTGGCCAGCCTTGGTGTATTTTCAATACAGCTTTGTTTCTTGGCTCAAGTTGGTGAGACTTTGGCTGGGAAAGAGCTGGCTGCTGACAAAGCCCCCACTGATGCTAGAGGCAGGAGGGCTCTCAGCCCATCCCTTGAAGGAGACAAAGAGCTAGAAACCAGAAGGCAGCCTTCCAGGAGGTGGCAGGAGGAGGAAGGAGCCGCTGGAAGTGGTGGCAGAACCCAGAGCAACATGATGAACACACCTCTCCTGGGCACTAGCAAGGAGAAAGCTACTGGCAACGTTCAGAAGCCCGCTTTGTCCCCAACAAAGACCAGGAGCCAAGGACTTCAGACCCACTTGAAAGGCTATGGGAAGTTTAATATGGATAGGGTAAGTAAGATGACACATGCTTTTATCTGGAGTTCTTCATTGTTACAGTAGAACTGACAGCAGGGAGGTTTGGTATGTTTTAAATTGGATGGACAATACCTGGCATGGACTTCTGATTATGAGCACTCTCTGGACTTCTGACCAGTTATGATTCAGGGAGACGATGAGGACCAAGGTTAGTGCAGAGGACTAACAGGGCCCTCCAAATTTACTGTCCCTTTCTACAACAAGGAAGATTGGAGAGCAAGGACATTGGGGGCCAGCTCTTCTGATATGGAGAGAAATGAATGCCACCACAGTATGTGTACTACACATGCCCGTCCTTAGCTTGTTGTGGTTTTAGCTTTTGTCTGCTAAGGTGGTAACTGATCTTGTAGAGATGAGCCTGACAGTATGCAATATCTGGGTCCTTCTGCTTTTTCCTTGTTTGCGGCTGCCTTACAGCTCCCAGGCTAGCATCTGGCAGACCTGTGGAGCCTTCCTTCAAGGCAGAATAACAATAACAACTAACCAGAAGGTACTGGTTAGTAACACCCACTAAGTTTTTGGTGTCAAATGAGGGGCAGAAATAGACTAGACAAGAGTGAGCAAGCAGAATCCCTGCAGCCTAAGGAAATCCATGGATGGCCAAGGGCCATCAATGACATGTTGGTCCATGATGATCTGCTACCTCTGAGATGAGAAACAAGGTGGTTTTGATTACCAGCTGTTGGGGAGCAGCAGCAAAGGACTGCTGTCATCTTCTGTCCTGATTGTAGGCTTTCAAGGGTCTGCTGTTCAGCCATGGTGGGAAACAAGGTATTAGATGGATCTTAGGTATGAACTGATCTAGCAAATTTCTTTTTATTTTCCCATCATGAGAAAGGCAGTGTTTGATATATGTGCTGCTGCTCTCATATTAGAGCTCAAGAAAGAATGAGCAGGAAAAGGGAAGAAAATTGCAAGGGGAAATTCCCCACCATGCCTTTAAACAGTTGGATGGCAGACAGAAATCAAACTGGTGCAGTATTCCTAAACAGTGAAATTCTAGGCTGGGGGAAAGCTGCACCACTGGAATTATTTAACAGCATAGTTGCACCGAGCAAGTAGCAAGTGCTGTACATTCTCATAGGGCCACAGATTACACTGGGCCTCAACACTCATAAAAGCATAGGCCTGTCTGAGCAACTACTACTGTACGGAATAATAAAACACTGCAACGATTGATGCTGCCTGGGGAGAAACTAGGAACGGTTATATATTTTTTTCTTTCTTTGCCAGTCTTCCTGTCCTGGGATTCAGTTGAAGACCTGCAGAAAACCCTCAGACTGTGATGGCTGCCTTGGCCTTTACACCTGCAAACTGCCAAGGGGGAAGTGCGACTTAAAAGCAGTGTCGCGGCAAACAGGTACCACGTCAACATAGGATAAAACCTAATGTGCAGGTGAAGGTGGTCACCTACTTGTTCATACTTCAATAAATGCTCTGACCAGTGCAGAAAATGAGAGGGGAAAAGTAATCTGAAAAGTATCTCTAAGTCATACTTCAATAAATGCTCTGGCCAGTGCAGAAAATGAGAGGGGAAAAGTAATCTGAAAAGTATCTCTAGGACAGGGTAACCGGGCTTCGCCAAAATCTAGAGATGAATCTGCATACCAGTGGGTGTTTGGAAAATAAATGGCAACATCTCCCAGCCTTGTTGTTCTTTTCTTTTCTTTTCTTTTCTTTCTTTTCCTGTGGATATTATCTGTTGTGTACTAAGCTACACAACCTGGTGTGTAACAGACAATGTACACAGGGATTTCTCGACACAACTTGCCTTCAAAAGTCAGGACATTTACATTATAACTATATACACAATGTAATTCTAGAGAGTCGAGTAACCTGCCTAGGCTCTCCAAATGCGACATTTGAGAAGTTATGTTTTGCTTTCATTGGAGTTGCTTATAGTAAGGTTACTTCACTGTAAGCCCTATCTAGATATGAGGAAGGAGTGCACTGTTATGCTCAGCTCCATGAAGAAGTTGAAACTACTGTTGTGCTGTTTGTCCAAGTATTTGGAAAATAAATGGCAACATCTCCCATTCTTGTTGTTCTTTTCTTTCTTTCTTTCTTTCCCTGTGGATATTATCTGTTGTGTACTAAGCTACACAACCTGGTGTGTAACAGACAATGTACACAGGGATTTCTCGACACAACTTGCCTTCAAAAGTCAGGACATTTACATTATAACTATATACACAATGTAATTCTAGAGAGTCGAGTAACCTGCCTAGGCTCTCCAAATGCGACATTTGAGAAGTTATGTTTTGCTTTCATTGGAGTTGCTTATAGTAAGGTTACTTCACTGTAAGCCCTATCTAGATATGAGGAAGGAGTGCACTGTTATGCTCAGCTCCATGAAGAAGTTGAAACTACTGTTGTGCTGTTTGTCCACCAACCCTGATGAAGTTTTATTTCCTCATGAAAGAAGCTTCAGTTGTTCTGCCTAGTTTTGAGGGATTTCTTCTGGACTTAGACATTATAGTAAAACTGTAGGGTGCTGCCTTTGTTTTCTTCCATTTATTATTATTGTTATTATTGTTATTGTTGTTGTTATGATGATGATGATGATGATGCCACATTTCTCCCAACAAGGGACCCAAAGCTGCTCACAACATTAAAATTCACTCAATTTAAAAACACTAAGTTAAATATTCAAAGATAAATTAAACAGTATATGATTTAAACACTAAGTTAAATATTAAAAGATAAAAAAACTTGAAAACGTAAAAAAGATTAAAATTTCTGTTGAAATGGGGTTCAAGGTTTCAGTTATAATTGTTAAAAATCTGCTGGAAGAGATAGGTCTTTAGCTTTTTTCAGAAGGATAACAGGGAAGGGGCCATCCTGATTTCCCGAGGGAGAGCGTTTCATAGCCTGAGAGCTGCCACTGAGAAGGCCCTCTCCCGTGACCCCATCAGCCATGCTTGTGCTGGCAATGGGACCGAAAGCAGGGCCTCCTCTGCTGATCTTAAATCACCGAGAAGGCGCATATAGGGAGATACGGTCCTTCAGGTAGCCTGGACCCAAGCTATATAGGGCTGTAATTACCAGCACTTTGAATTGGGCCTGGAAACGGACTGGTAGCCAGTGCAGTTCTTGTAACAGGGGTCTTGTATGCTCCCTGTAGCTGGCCTCAGTCCGTAGCTTGGCTGCAGAGTTTTGCACCAGCTGAAGTTTCTGAACCGTCTTCAAAGGCAGCCCCACATAGAGCACGTTACAGTAAAACAAACAGGATGTAACCAAGGCATGTGTCACTGTAGCCAAATCTAACATCTCAAGGGACGGCTGTGCAAATGCACTCCAGGCCAATCATGGCTCTTCGGCGTCCATAGGTCTGCACACTTCCTGATCTGAAAATGTTCTGTGGAGGATACTAACCTATTCCACCTTTCTCTGGGCTTTAACTGAAACATGGGAAGCTGGATGTTGTGGTGGTGTGCTGGCTTTCAGAGAAAATATTTAAGACAGAGAAGACATGTAGACCCACTTGTCCTCAGCTGCCTCCACAGTGGGGTGAGGACAAAAATCCTGAAATGTCAGCCACGAAGATTTCTCCAAAATGTCACCTCTTTTCAAATTTTGTTAGAAGGTGAATTATTAAACAGATTGAGAATAGGTGTAATTCTCACAGGAGAAGTTTTCAGCACACTGCTACTCTCTTGTGCGTCTGTGACATTTTGTGCTTCTCTATAAAGTAAAAAAAGAATAAAGAAATGGTAAATGGTTATAGTGTAACCTTTCCTAGGCATGTAAGCTTTTTCAGTGGAAATTTAAAAAAAATCTGTGGAGGATCATTCCATTTGCTTTGAGCCAAAATGCAGTGTCACAGCCTAGGAAAAAGGGGTTAACTGGGCCACAGTAAAAAAAAAATGGCTTCTAGTCCTTCCCAATGGTTTCAAGAAGTAGCCAGCAGGGGGCGCTGTGGATTGAAAATAGGGTTGGAAATGAGGAATGGCAGGTTTTACGTTCTCACCATGTTTATAGTTCTCTTTATAAAAGCCTACCATGCTGTAAAACTGTCTTTTAAAAGTAATACTTAGTGCTAATTTTAACATTAATGTTTGTGCTTATTTTCTAAAAAAAAAAGTATTAACCTTTCCATCAACTGGTTTGCTAACAGCACTGGTGGAAATGTCCCTCATTTTAAAATATATTTCATTTTATTGGTTACATTTTTGTATCCACTTGTACTCCAGGGAGTCCATGGTGGAACACAAACAGTTATCCTGCATTGTGGCAATACAGGAAGGTTAGAGGCATGACATATTGATTTAGGTAGTATTTTTGTTATTTTAATACTTAAAGTGTGGGACTGTAATGAGTTGTTGGCTTAGGATTGAGCTGACTAAGGTGCAAATCCCCGTCTGGCCATGAAACTCAGGCCTTGATCACACTTGCCAAAAGAACCCATTATACTGTTTTAGCCATTATTTGGATTCTTTCAAAAATCTCCATTCACATGAAACCTGGCTAACATAAATTCATTTGTCATGGCAATGGGTTTATTTCTTCCTTGTTGGGAGGGTTATTTTAAAATAGAACAATCATGTATCACTTCATTCTTTTTCATTTCAGCATGTGTGAATGTTGCTGCCGATTTATTTCCTTTCCAAAGAAGTCAGGGTTTTGGGCACTATGGCCACTTCTTGGCCACTGTGCTTGTACCATTAAAAAATAAATTGCTAGTAGCAGTCACTGCTGACAGCACCACAAAAACTTAAATACATTGCTCAAAATGTATCACCTGTGGGTGAAAGAGGGCTTGAGCAGAGAAAGGGACATTTCCTGTTTAAAAAAGAGAGGGGGGCTTTGCATTAGCATCTCTTCTCTCTTTGTGTTAAAAAAGAGAGAGGGCTTTGCATTAGCATCTCTTCTCTCTTTTTAAAAACCCTGCTCTTCACAATACTTTGCAAGTCTTTTAAAACCTGCTTCCTCCTTCCAATGTTGTGCAAAAGGGAAAAGAGAGGAATATGCAGGGAAATAGGGAAAAGGGGACGGGGAAAAGAGAGGGAGAAATATGCAGGGAAATAGGGAAAAGGGGACGAGTGAGTAAAGGCCTTCATTTTGACTGATAGCTCAGATAATCCGTCATTGCTGGAAATGGTTAGGCAGTTAACTGGCCAAGGCATGTGTTTCTGACCACTCGTCTGTTTTGCTTTATTCTCATCCTGCCACAGGTAGCTTCTTTCAGAGCATCCAAAGCAGATAAGGACACTCAGCTGATGGACGGTTTAAGAAGAATCACTCCAAAACAATCCAAGGGACATTTGTGTTTCTGTAGTTATAGTGGAGAGGGAAATAAATGAATTGAAAATCAAAAGCGCTGCTTAATAAAAAAAATAACTTTCAAAGCTATTTAAATTATCTGTCTCATCTAAAACAGGACAGTTTTGGGTGAAGAGCTTAGTTTATCTTGACTATTTAATTTACAGGGAGGGACATTCAGCAGGTAAACCTCAGCACTGTTGGGGATTAAGATGAGCAAAGACAGGGAAAAGCTGTAGTCCCACTTCCTGCAGTCACCCAAGAACCGACAGCTGCTCTTGGATAGTTGTTCTGATGCTACCCTGCTGAGTACAGGGTAGCATCAGAGGCTCAGGATACAAGGCAGAAATTGGAATGCTGTTGATGGTACATCCAGAAGGGAAATTGAAGAAGTCACAGCAAAACAGTGTTACTTAATGAAATGCATTTCTGGTTGCATATATAACTTGTAATGTGACTTGCATCTTGTTAAATAGCACCAATGTGCTGCTGCAACTTACATGGTTTCGTTTATGGAGGCATATATCACCAATGATATTCTGACCATAGAGTAATGTTATCCTGAGGGCTCTGGCCAGTTCTCTTGAGCCCAGTTGAATGGAGATCAAGGAGGAAGAAAAATCACAGGATCTGCATGACCATTGAAGGTCTAGCAAAACACTTTTAAGGAAGGTCCCTTTTCCTAGTTTGCCACCTCAAGTTTAGATGAAACACCCTGGGGAACCAAGGTTTGCATGTCAAAGAAAAAACTCAGCCACATTTGGGAGATTGGAGAATACTAAAATGGAATAGGATGGAAGAACATTGGATACTAATAAAAATGTGATGGTGTGGTGAATTCTGGACAGAAATTACAAAGAGAAAGCATTCCCCATCCCAGATCAAACACAAGACATTGCCATTTTCAAAGTCAGACTCCTCTTCCATCTAATTGTTGGTAAGCGGGACAAGGAGCATTTAACTCTTCAGGTACTTTTGCAATGCAACCCCCATCACCCTCATTTCAACTCTGTTGGCTACAGCTGATATTGCAGCCCAACAATATCAGAAGGGTCACATGGACATGCTGGTCTACTTTGATAGATACCAGTTATCCAGATCTTCTATGCATAAAATGAGAGCGGATGTGCCATGTTGTGCCCCTCACTTGACTACTTACGGTACATCTAAGAACTTCATGTTAGAGCTATAGCTTGCATGGAATAATACTCAGTGGGGTCACTTTACACTTCATAACTGGCAACTGAATGGGTGGAGAAATCAAGTCATGGATATAAAGGCATGGGCAAGTCTGCATGTTTGCATCCACATGGACTAAGCAAAATAGATTATGAAACTACCACAATCAATCTAGATTAGTCAGTTTCATTCCAACGTTGTCTCTCACTTCCAGGCAACAATTTCTTTTTCTTTTTGGTTCACTGAGGTCGTGGGAAAGGATCCCCCAATAGAGGTAGTCAGCCACTGTCCCTGTCCCTCAATCTTCTCCCAACCACCCTTGAATTTTACAGATCTTCTCCAAATGAAAATCAATTCAGCCAAGGTAAGAATCAAGTCAGCCAATACCCCACAGACCACTTACTTAATATATATAAGACTTAAGCACATTTCACCCCCCTTTTTTGTAATCAGTGAAAATCAGTTCAGCCAAGTAAGAATCAAGTCAGCCAAAACCCCACAGACCACTTACTTAATACAGTATATATAAGACTTGAGCACATTTCACCCCCCTTTTTTGTAATCATTCACTTTTAATTACATGGCATCAGTCTCTCAGCTTACTCCAAAGAAAGATAGGCATGTGTTCATTGAAATCTAGGAAGGGCCACCCATCTTCCATCGCATAGTGTTTGGTCAGAGAACAGGTTTTGCGCAGCTCCAGTCCACTCTCCACATTTATAACCTCTCCCTCTTCCATCTCACGTGTCCTTGGCTAATACAGTCCTCCTAAGGCCAATATAAATAAGAAACATTGGATAGCTAAGAAATAAAAACCACCACAATATCTACAAAGCTCCAGAGTTCTGAGTGTGCTTTGTCCAGTGCATGTCCTTCGTAGAAACCGAGACGACTGTTCTAACAACCTCTTCTTCTTCATCTCCTCCTCCTCATTGCTGTTGAAGAAGTCACCACAGGCCAACTGTTTATAGAAGCAGAGTTCCTGGACACCCTGCCTCCCAAGACCCTTCCCATGCTGGAATGTGACCTTTGAAGCAGGTTGAATGGGAAACTGGTGTGGTGGGGAAAGCCCATTTTTCACTGGCTGATCTGTAAAACAAAATTCCTTTTCCCAACAACAGTGGTATCCTGGGTTCTTATTTCTTGTGGAGAAATTTCATTTTGTTACCTGGAGGAGATGGGTTGAGTGGAGAGGGAAAAAAAAAGAAAAGGAAGAAACGTGTTTACAGGAAGAAAACGAGCATGATCTAGCAAGGACTGGCGTAAGGGCATTTCTGAACTGACAAAAGAACCAATATGAAGCTTAGCCATTGGTGGTTAAGATCTAAGTATGATATCCAAACCTTCCAAACCCCTTCATTAGGTACACAGCAGGACAATGGATATCCAGTTGGGAGTTTGGGAGAAAAGCCTTGTGGAAAGCGTTCTGCTGCAGCACGGACTATCTGAGCCCTGTTCTTCGACTTCCTTTAAAAGTATTTGATTGCAAGGGCGATTCTGTGACCTCTTGAATTGCAAAACGAAGTGGCTTGGGTTTTGCCAGGGGATCGTCAAGGTAGACTTGGCCCCTTTCCTTCAAAGGTCTCCAATGGCTCTGCGTCACACGCCTGGAAAAGTAAAGCTTCCTCCCTTCGAGACCCACTTCTCGTTACTTCTCAGAAAAATGTCTGGAAGAATTAAGGAACCAAAACTATTTCAGACATTCTAGGATGGCATTCTAGGAGATCCTTGTCGGCCTAGGTTCATGTACATTTTGACATACTAAGCATTAATCTGACCTTATGAAAATGCTTCTGGGCACTAGTGATTCAGGGAAACTGCTACTGAAGTAGTATTTTCCAAAGATCAGGCTTTTTGATTTATGCTGTGTCAAGAGGAACATGTAAAAATTTCCCAGTGAACCGCACACAGAGTTCAGGGAGGCTAAGGCAGGGATGGCTTTCTATATCCAAGGTTTCTCCTAGGGAGGAGCCGGATTGCTCTATGCAAGTGGACAGGAATGCCCCTTTTTGACAAGTGCTGCACAGAGCGAAACTCTAATTGAGAGGAAGACCAGTAGCAGGACATCAATACAGAAAATATTTCTATCACTTCAAAAAGAAATGTAAAGATGGCATTTTGGAAAATGTAGCTTTTCAACCTCCTGCAAAACATGGGAAGTGGAAGTTGCTATTCCACAGAACTGTTCATATGGGCATCAGGGGTAAAGACAGATTATTGGCATCCCTGAACTACCTTTTACAGTATTTATATGGCCTCCGTCTCCAATTAAAACAAAGTTGAGGCATATGTATTTGCTCATGTTCATTTCCTGTTACTGTTCTCTCCCTCCCTCCGTTTCTCTCATTCAACATCTCCTTCTTTTGTCTTCTAATCTAACCCATCAAAGTTTCACCTGAAATTTCTCTTCAGGACAAAGAGTAGTCTTATTTCTTCCACTGTGCATAAAATAAATCCATTGATGTATCTTGTTACAAAGACACTGATGGCTCATTATGACCTCTCTGTGTGATTTGACCTCAGAGCACTTGGTAGAACAGAAAAGCATAATTAAGTATTAGTATGGTCACTGCACCAAGAGTGGCTTTGGCTTGATTACTTACCTAAACCTTTCAAGAATTTATTGACTCCACTCTGCTCTGCACTCGGAAGTGTTTCCAAGTACTCCTGGACACGTACCTCGAATAAACCTGTTGAAGGGAAAAGCAAATCAAAACAAGATCAGCCATAGCTGTCTTAATACCAGTTGTAATTATTTGCTTGGCCACATTTATAAGCATAAAGGAGCAAAGCACTAGCTCCATGAGCAACAGAGTTTAGTGCAAATGGGTCCACGTAATTCAGATAATTGCAACTAATGACTTTTGCATAAGTGAGAACTAATGTTATTCTGTTTGCAGTAGAACAAAGTGACCTTTCTTTCCTGGTGCAAGTAAATAACCTTTTAAAAACCTCCAGGCAGCTGGAGGTCCCCCCCCCTTGAAAACAAGGGTTTTGTGCACTTAGAGAAGCTTGGGATGCTGTGTGATGCCAATTACAAACGGAAGCAGAACAAGACTAGAGCAGTACGATACTCCACCCACTATAGCAAACGTGCTTGCAAATGACACTTCCTGCTGTGGTCAGAGCACCATATCACTCACTGTGTCACTGTATCACTTGAGCATAATGCCTGAACAGGACTAGTGGCTACAAATATGAAGCCATGCCCCACAACGCCTGCCAGGATGAGTTCAACAGCATACACAGTTCCAACCCTGCTCTGGACAGTGCAAAACCCTAGTAAGAAGTAAGGCCACCTCGAGTTGTTAATGCAGGAAGAACACACGCACCACAACAAACACAACAACAGAGTAGCTGATAACGCAACACTCCTACTTTCTGAGCTCTTTGTATGGCCACCTTGTGTTGTTAATGCAGGAAGAACACACACACTACAACAGAGTAGCTGATAATGCAACACTCCTACTTTCTGAGCTCTTTGTAGGAGCAAACAATAATGAGTTTTTCTAGAAGGCTTGTAATTGGCATGTGATTACACTAGCTTATTAAAATAATGCAATCAAACACTGAGAATTAGTTTTTGTTGTTGCTTATTTGTTAAGTCGTTTCCGACTCTTCATGACCCCATGGACCAGAGCACACCAGGCCCTCCTGTCTTCCACTGCCTCCGGGAATTGGGTCAAATTCATGTTGGTTGCCTCGATGACACTGTCCAAGCATCTCGTCCTCTATCATCCCTTTCTTTTCTTGACTTCACATTTTCCCAGCCTCAGGGTCTTTTCCAGGGAGTCTTCTCTTCTCATGAGATGGCCAAAGTATTGGAGCCTCGGCTTCAGGATCTGTCCTTCCAATGAGCACTCAGGGTTGATTTCCTTCAAAATGGAAAAGTTTGTGCTCTTTGCAGTCCAGGGGACTCTCAAGATCCTCCTCCAGCACCATAATTCAAAAGCATCAATTCTTCGGCCGTCAGCCTTCTTTATAGTCCAACTCTCACTTCCATACATTGCTCCTGGAAAAACCATAGCTTTGACTATGTGGACCTTTGTCGGCAAGGTGATGTCTCTGCTTTTTAAGATGCTGTCTAGGTTTGTCATCACTTTCCTCCCAAGAAGAAGGCTTCTTTTAATTTCGTGGCTGCTGTCACCCTCTGCAGTGATCATGGAGCCCAAGAACAGTTCTGCCACTGCCTCCATATCTTCCCCTTCTATTTGCCAGGAGCTGATGGGACCAGTGGCCATGATCTTAGTTTTTTGTTGAGCTTCAGACCATTTTTGGCGCTCTTCTCTTTCACCCTTATTAAGAGGTTCTTTAAGTCCTCCTCACTTCTTACCATCAGAGTGGTATCATCTGCATATCTGAAGTTGTTGATATTTCTTCTGGCAATCTTAATTCCATTTTGGGGTTAGTACCACCCAGTTATTTTGTTTCCATCAGTCTGCTTTGCTTTGGATGGTGGCAGCAGCCCTATTCAGCCATTCAATAATGGGTTACTCTGAACCTATAAGTAGAGGGGGTTTGTCATATTTGGATTTTATGTGTCCAGAAAAGGAAAATCAAGCTTTTCTATCCTTTAGTACACTTGCAGGTCTACCTCCGCATGAAATCCAAGTGATGACATTCACAGGTTGACCTTGGGTTGGTCACTCTTTTTCAGCCTGACTTCCCTCACTTGGTTGTTGTGAGGGGAGCTACGTATTGAACTCAACGGAAGAAAGTCAGGATGTAAATGTAACTCCTAAATGAACAAAATCATTACATTGCCTGCTAGAGCCTCATCTGCCTCTAGACCCCTTCTTCTTTGGTTCCTCCTCATCCTCATCCTCAACTCAGATCATTAAAATGCAGAAACAAAGTGTCATTTAAGGATGATGATTGAAACTGTGGAGGGCCAGATTGATGGTGGGGAATGAGAGGAATGCATGTGAGCCCCATCTCCTACTCCATTTGGAAGCCATTGGGCATGGCTTCCATGCATGTCCTCATTCCTAGTACCCATTAGACACTACATGGTTTCAATCATAGTGCCTGAACAGGGCTAATGGCTACAACACACAGTCATGCCCCCAAATACCTGTTGGTTTGCAATACTGTGCCTAATGAACAAGTTCCGTAGATCCCCAAAGCTGCCACCTCTTTTTGTGTTCTTTCGATTTGCCTAAGGAAGGCACTACGCTCATATGGACCCTACAGCTAAAAGCAGATTGAAACTAAAAAGTATCTTCTAGTTTAATCATGACTTTGCTCCTTCTATTGAAAGAGACTTCTCACCTTTGGCGCCTTGTTTCCGCAGCTCTCGTTCCTGAATGAAGCCTCCGAACATCTGTGTCTCCATAAAAACCTCTAGGAATCGCCGAAGGCTCTTGGAAGAGACTGACTTCCGGAAGGCCTCCCGCTGCAGGCTCCTCTCGTCCCGCTCAGTAGGAATCATGAAAAGGGAGTAGTGGCCCATGATCTCCACAAAGAAGCGGACAAAAGCTTCCGACACCACCTCGTTCAAGGGGCTGGACTCTGGGGAGGCTTTAGCAGGTGAAGGGGGAAAAGTGGGGCGGGAACAGAGGAAAGATCTGTTAGTGGTCAGCCAACAGTCCCTCTATCTCAGAAGTGGTATCGTAGAGCTGGAAAAAGGGGTCACCCCTCGCCCCCATGATCAAAGCACTGAAGCTGAAATTCATCCTTTCAGTTGAGAAGAAAAAGATGACTAGGAAAGAACATGGTCAATACGACAGAGAACAAGTGGAGGTATCTCCCCATCTCCCATGATATTCAGGGTCGCGCTGTGATCGGCAGGAAAGACACACGGCATGCACATCTTCCCATAGGAGCTTTATCCAAGCATTCAGCCTGCACAAGTCTGACTTAAATGGGTGGTGGTGGCAAGGACACCTACCCCAACCCCAGGTTCCCTAGGCACCAGGCTCCTCCTTAGACCTGGTGAATGCCGAAGATAAAGTCAAGCAAGGCACACGTATGTACAACCAGCACTTGGAACAATTACTTTTCTGAACTACAGCCCCAGAATTTTTCAACCCGCCACAGGCACTGGTCATTTGGACAGGGAATTCTGGGCACTGCAATCCAAAAAGTCAGTTTCCCATGCTAGGATATGAATCCAACATACCTAAGAGGCACCAAGCTGGGGAAAGCTGCAGTAGATATGAGTGTTCTTCACTGGTAGACCTCATTGGGAGAAATGAACTGCCTATTGAAAAATGAGAAGAGACGATTCAAGCCTTACCCTGCTTGCTTTTGAGAGAGGTCTCCTCATCACTGGCCAGCTCATTCCTCTGCTCCAGGATGTGCTCTAATGCACCTTGCAACTTCCGAGGCAAGATAAAGTCTTCATCTTCCATCTTCAAAAGAGCATACATGCAGTCAGCCTAGGCGAAACTGAGGGTGCTATTAGATGAGGAGAAAGGATTGCGTCTAATCACACCAGAAAGGGTTGCTTTGCCAGGAGCAATCCCCCTTAACACAATCCTTCTCTATGTCCAGGAATTGCTCCAGCCCAGCCTCCCAAAAACAGTAGTCCTGCTGCTGGACCCAAAACGTCCGGCCTGGGCATGAATCGGAGTCGGTCTGGAGGGTTATTGCCTGTATGATTGTGTGATTGCCAGGAAACAGCTCACACCAGACTCAGACTCAAGCAATCCAAAATGTCAGCTATCTCCTTGTCTTATCACATCCCAAGACTCATACACAGAGACAGGTATGTGGTAATGCAGTGGTCCCCAACCTTGGGCCTCCAGATGTTCTTGGACTACAACTCCCAGAAGCCTTCACCACCACCTGTGCTGGCCAGGATTTCTGGGAGTTGAAGTCCAAGAACATCTGGAGGCCCAAGGTTGGAGACCACTGTGGTAATGGATAGTTGTGACCATATTGCAACAGTAATTTGCTTTTGGCTCCTGCTAAAGGCCAGCAAACACACTGCAGCTCTTATGTACCCGGCCACGGTGGGAAGCAGGCTGCTGGGCCAACTAGGCCTAGAATAATGGGCTGAATAGGCTCTGGCTCTAATATTCTTCTTGCATAGACATGTCAAGGGAAAGCAAAGCCTCTTTCTAGGCATTCTCCACTCCCCTTATTGCCTTCCCTTCTCCAGAGTCCTCTTCCCATCTCTCTCTCTCTGGGGCTCCAGCAACAAGACATGGCTACTAGAGAGGGGAGTATTTGTATATGAATGAAATGCATATATGAAAGCTCATAAATGTACACGTGGCCTTAAATATGAATACCTTCATCTCTAATGGCTACAATCGATATTTAATATAAAATATTGGCTTTCAACACAACAGTATTCCCTAGCTCCCTATTTTGTCTGGAGGAACAGAATACACCATTTTTTAAACCTCAAGTTATTCTTACCTGCCTGAGAAACCGGTTATTAACAAGGTCAACCACAAGGACCTGCCTCAGACAAATGCATAGGAAGAGAAGAAGGCGAGTGTGGGAGGGAGAGGGAGAGAGGGAGAGAGAGACGAAGAAGGCGAGTGTGGGAGGGAGAGAGAGAGGGGGGGAGAGAAAGGAGTACGTATTAGAGAGAATAGTAGATCTACTGACTTCACTAGAAACATGATTGCAGCACATACAGTTTTGTGGGGTAGGGGAGAGGGCCTGCCTTGCCCCACCCAATCCCACAGAGCCACAAAAAGATAGGAAACCCAGCCCAAGCCTAGGGCGGTTTTATGAATTTCACCACAAAGCCACAGAATGACAACTTAAACACTAGGAAGCTGTTTCTCCTGATCAGCTCCTTACACACTCTTTCCCTTTCCTCCAGGAATGGTTTCTGAGAAACCACAGAGTTCTTCCACACAACAGAGAAGGAGCAACTTGTTGAAGAAAATGCAAGACAGCTGTGTGCCCTGGCACTTTTAATGCTTCACGTTGGAATTTTAGGCAAAACTTGAGGCAAATGTGAGCCTGTCAATATGGGACTCTGAAAACGGAAATACAGTACTTTGGTGCCTGGGTGGAAAATCCGAACAGTCCCTCCAGCACCATCTTCTGCTAATTAAAGTGGAGCAGAATCCCCCACTCCTGCAGCCAGGATTGTTCCAAGGGCCGTCCCTCATTTTGCCACATAAAGTGCCAAGCCACCTTATGAAGAATTCTGAATGTGGAGAAGAACACACACTGGAGAGGGAAGCACTTCTAGAAACAGGAAAAGATGCCTCGGGCTTTCAAAGAGGTATCTGTGTTGGGCTGTTTCAGCAATACAGACTCTATAAAATGAAAAAAAAAATGTTGTGGCATCTTATAGACAAATGGGTTTATTTAGCGTGAGCATTCATTGATTACGATCTACTTCTTTATGCTGTGTCTGAGGAAGTGGTATGTAATCCGTCAAAGCCCACACTGAAATAAATCTGTTAAGTCTTTAAGTGCCATGGCTCCTTTGTTTTTATTGTTATACAGGCTGAATATCTGAAGAGGATGAATGAGGCTTGGCTCTTCAGCAGAGAACTGGAAGCGGGGGGGGGGGGTGCAAATGGAGTACTGAGTAAGCATTTTGGTTGTAATGGTGCAGTCGCCTTGGACCACCAGGGTCTTCTGTGGGGTACGGGGTGAAATAATATTTTGAGTTCATACACAACATTCACAGTGGTGTTCTTATCAGGAAGGGTTAGAATCAACGCCAAGGGTGTCCAATATCACCCCGAGCATTGTGTACTTTAGCTGAAAATGGCTTCAGATGGAAGGAGAACATGTCACAGCAAAGCACCCTCAGACATGCTTGAAGAGAACTCATCAAATGCGCTTAGGTGTAATTAGTGGAAACCTGTCATGCAGATGATGAATTTGGACTCAACTTTGGTGCATCTTGAAGGGACGTGGTGGCGCTGTGGGCTAAACCGCAGAAGCCTGTGCTGCAGGGTCAGAAGACCAAGCAGTCGTAAGATCGAATCCACGCGACGGAGTGAGCCCCCGTCGCTTGTCCCAGCTCCCGCCAACCTAGCGGTTCGAAAGCATGCAAATGCGAGTAGATCAATAGGGACCACCTCGGTGGAAGGTAAACAGCGTTCCGTGTCTAAGTCGCACTGGCCATGTGACCACGGAAAGATTGTCTTCAGACAAAACGCTGGCTCTATGGCTTGGAAACGGGGATGAGCACCGCCCCCTAGAGTCGAACACGACTGGACAAAAATTGTCAAGGGGAACCTTTACCTCTTCCTTTTTTGGTGCATCTTGAACTGTGAAGTCAAAATACAAGCCAAGAAGGTAAAGTAGCAGAAAAACGATAAGGTCTTGTAGGGTAGAGGTGTGGAGGTAAAGCAAGGACTTCATTCCAGAGTGTTTCCAGAACACTCGTGTCTGTCAGAGGAGGAAACTGTCACCCTACTTTCCTTGACCTACCATACCTAGAGCCCTAGATTTCTGGCCATAGTATTCCTGGTTTCCGTTTAGGACTGAAGAAACCAAGGCTTAAAATTCCAACTGAATCATGATGAATTTCACCGGGTGACCTCTTGACAGTCACTGTTTTTCGCACTAAAAACCCACTACACAAGATTGTGAGAAAGTAAGTTGGGTAGGGTTGGGGTTAGAATGATACATACGCTATGCCGAGCTCCCTAGAGGAAAACTGTGATATAAATCAATAAGGAATTAGCCCAGAGAGTCCAGTTCTGCACCCTTGTTTTAAGCGAATGATAAAGCACCTCTTGTATACCTAAGCCGCCACACTCTCCTCGTCCTCAAACAATAACAAGTACTGTGACTTTTTTTTTTTACAAAGCAACACTATTAGCAACAGCCAACTAGAGGACAATAAGGGTTGTAGTTTTCTGACTCATTAACATAACCAAATTTTCTGTTTTAAAAAGCAATTATCTAAGTTTTGATATTGATAGGGTCATTTTTGCCCCCAACCCTGTGCAACTGGAGTTGAGACTTCTTGGGTCCAACATCATTAATTTGGCCCCTCCAACTTTACTGTGTTAAGTCTCACCTCTTCCACTGGCAGTTCCTTGAGGCGGGGAAGCGAACTGGAGAGAAGGCCGATCAGAAAGGGGGTTGGTGAACAGACGATGTCTATCATTGAAGGGGGAAGTACAGGGATGTAGGTGTGTTGCCACGTGAAGGGGTAAAGGAGTGCTACCATGGCATGGCAGCATTTTGACAAGGTGCTAGAAATAAAAATAAACATAAACACAGAGACTGTCAGTCTGATGTCTGCAAGACCCCTTTGAGGCTGATGAGCAACATACAGTGGTGCCGCGCATCATGATGATAATCCGTTCCATAGAAATCATTGTCAAAACGTCATCTTGCGAAAACCGTTTCCCAACTGGAATACATTGAAACCCGTTTAATGCATTGTCATCTTGCGAAAATCGATTCCCGATTGGGATGCATTGAAACACGTTTAATGCGTTCCAATGGGGAAAATCGTCTTCGTTTTGCGAAGATCGCCCATAGGGAAACCATTTTGCGAAGCGCCGATCAGCTGTTAAAATGGCTGTCCTGTGAAGCATCGGTCTGGAAAACACCCATTTTGCGAAGCACCGATCAATGCCAAAATTGTCGTCTTGAGAGAATCGGTTTGTGAGGCACGGATCCAAACATCGTCCAGCGAAAATCGCCCATTGGAAACACTGTTTTGTGAATCACTATAGCAATCACAAAACCTCATAGTCATGCGGATTCATTGTTTTGCGAGGTTGTCATCTAGCGGGGCACCACTGTAGAATGCTCTCAGGCACAAGAACTTCCAGTTCCCAATTGAACACAAGAACTTTTCACCAAGTTTTAACCCAGAATAGTGTGTGGCTTCCCAAAAACCTCTTGGATAAAAAAGGAAAGCAAGCGTCCAGTCCTCATGATTATAGAAAGAAGCACTCAGAGTCGGTAAACCACTCCTACAGAATGTCCAGAAACCAAAACAGGCTTTGAATAGGGCTTTCTCAAGTCCCAAGGCAAGGGCATTTTTAAGCTCTGCAAAAGTTATTCTCTTTTCCCACTCTCTATGTTGCTAAACTAGTTTTCTCCCACTTCATCTCTCATCAACAAGTGGCTAAAGAATTAGCAAAAATATATTGTCAACAGTTTTTCTTTTTAGATTCGCAGAAAACCCTTTTATTTTTTTCACTAGCATTTCTTTACAGATACATTGCAGCCAATTCATTAATGGATTTGTTTTACTGTAAACTTTTTGTATTTACTCATTTTAATCTACTGTACACTGTTTCAACATCTGATGTGGAGTGGTCTATATGCTTTATAAACAAACAAATTTTTTAAAAATTGCCTGGTATAACTCAGACAGTAAAGAGTTTTCTTTGGCACATACCCTCTATGTCTTAAGTAGTGTCTTACCCCTTCATTTTCTTTCCATAGCATGGTAGTATCATACAATAAAAGTGAACAATGAGATCATCTATCAGTTTCAGTGCCCACAGTGGAAACCGGGGATTTCTGCACATATTTTCCCCTACGTCAGCTGGAATCATGGGATTAATAGGGATTCTCAGCTTTCTCGCTTAAATATGGCAATCCATGGACCAATCCCAACATTCCTTCACTCTTTTTCCTCCTTACTAAGCAGTTTGCTGGAAAACTTTGCTTACGTCAAGCATGTGTATGAAAGACTGCACCAAACAAACAAACAAACAAACAAAAAAGGGAGGAAAATGCATGCCATTTCCAGTGCTATTCTCTGCTAGCACCAACAGAACCGCAGGGACCTAGAATACTCACAGTAAAAAACACACCAACAAACAGTACAAAACTTAAGGTAGCTAGTATAACCCAGCAGACTCGAGCACCTGGCTGCAGACCCAAGGGCTCAGAGGTTGAACCCACTGTATCTCCGAGGGGACAGACGAGCTGAAACCACCTCGAGTGTGTCCGGCAAACCTTTTTTGGCTCGAGTGCCCAAAATGAGGGGGTGGGGGAGAAACCAGTGGCTGCCATGCCACCCGGCAGACCAGAACCAGAACAGGAAGTGGCAGTTTCAGGGGAAATCATGGGGACGGACAGGAAGTTAACGGGGAAATCATGGGGACAGACAGGAAGTTAAAGGGGGAATCATGGGGATGGATAGGAACTTAAAGGACCCAGAACAGGAAGAGAAAGGGGGAATCCCAGCTGCAGCCACTTCAAAAGGTTTGCCGCGTGCCAGAAGAAAGGGCTTCACGTGCCATAGGTTCGCCATCACTGGGACTCTAGGCAATGTGAATATGCAACCTGTCACTTTTCCAACCTTGGGCAGGCTTCACGGTCTCAGAGCACCATTAGAAGGAGGGTCAGCAAACCACTTCTGAGTACTATATAGCCACAAAATCCTGGGAGGACTGCCCTAAATCGGAATCACTTCAATGGCGTATCATTCATTGAATACCTCAAGCCCTCTGCTTACAATAGATAGGAGCAGGGTTGGCCCTGGCATTAGGTAGACAAAGACATCTACCGAAGGCCGCAGATTTTGGGTGGCATTAAAGAGTACAGAAATGTTAATAATTGATTGGTTGTTATTGTATTTTTGTTGCCAGGGTACCTGCAGGAATGTCTGTCTTCTGTGCCAGAGTAACTTGCCTGGCTTTGAGTACTGTGCATCCCAACTTGGGTGCATAGGGACAAAATGATGATAAAACACACTTGGGGATTTGCTGTTTCATTGCATGGCTTGGAAGCATCAGTCCTTAGTTATTTGGGGGCCCTTGAGCTAGAAGCTACAATTTATTGGGCAAAATCCTGTGGGTGTAAAGTTCTACCATGCAAACTGGATCCAGCACCAGTAATATTAAACTTCAATTCATGGAAGGCATCCTATCTAACTTTTCAGGTTCCAACACTACCTAGGGCTCCCTTTTTCACCGGGGAACTCTTTGCTGGAAACTGCTGGAAACAAACTCTTTGTTTGATTGGTGCAAAAAAACCCCAAAACAACACTATCCTGAGGCTCCCAAATGCTTTTCCAGGGCAAAAGGGAGTCCTAGAGAGCCTCAGAACCTGAAAGGGGAGGATTGGAGGCTTTTAATTAATTTAAATATTGTGCAGCATAACTTTATGCAACAGGATTTTGCTCACTCATCATAAATACATATCCTGCTCTTCAAAGTTCCCCTCCATGTTCATAAACTATCATCCCCCAGAAAACTTACAATATGATGAAATTACTATAATAGAACAGGGCAATGCTTCTGGTAGTGAAGGGCTGGCTGGCTGCACCCCATTGCCAAGGGGACGCCTCTATGTATTCTCAATGCTTTCCCATTCTTTGGGAAGGTTCCTTTATGCCCCACCATGAGTGCAAAAGAAGATTTAGCAAATGACCGAGATTATTGAAGCAGCCCACTTCTGGTCAAAAATAGTCTAAATATTGGAACATTTTAATTTGTATTCGCGAAGGCTTTCACGGCCGGGATCGAAGGGTTGTTGTGGAAATAAAAATGGTCTCTCTCATTAACGAGCTGGCAAAAGGCAAGGCTGTAACTTAGATGAAGGAAGGCCAAATCCAAAGTGGACAAATCCAAAGCACTCTAATAGTGACATAAAAAGGGAACTTCTTGAATGTGGTGGGGGAAGAGAAGGAAAAGAAGAGCAAAAGCTAGCCTGTTTGGAGTGTGGTTGTATCAGAAACACATTATGCTGGAAATATTTGCCTAGCTCTGCAAACACAGTCTGTCCTTCTCAGCTTTGTTTACCTCTTTGTGTTAAACATCTGAACAAATCAGAATGACCAGCTTCACGTTACATCCAACTCTGGAACATTAAGATGTCGTTGATTAACACTGGGCAAAATCCTGTTGTCATGAAGTTACGCTACAAAGTAACTTTTCCCTGAGGAGGCTTGGAAACGGCGGGGGGGGGAGCCTTTAATAGTCAAGGATTACCATTAGATTGCCACTGCATTGGGCTCTATGGCATGACTTTTATGCTAAGAGGATTTTAATCACTGTTTAACAGGCCCAACAAGCCAGGCTTCATAAACCAACATTTGTTTAAATCTGGCCTCCAAATCTTGGCTTGTTAAAGCGGTGCACTTTAGCATTATGCCAGGTTTGGGTACAGCTCAGACCCCTTCCTGGTTTGTCTACCTATTTGTGTGAAGGGTGAAGCACATGAGCTGAATGCACTAGGACACTGCTAATTAACACTGTGGTTTATTAATCCAAAGGGATGTGGTGGTGCTGTGGGTTAAACTGCAGAAGCCTCTGTTGTGCAAGGTCAGAAGATCAGCAGTCGTAAGATCGAATCCACGCAGCGGACTGAGCTCCCGTCGCTTGTCCCAGCTCCTCCCAACCTAGCAGTTTGAAAGCATGTAAATGCGAGTAGATAAATAAGTACCATCCCGGTGGGAAGGTAACGGTGTTCCATGTCTAGTCGTGCTGGCCACGTGACCAAGGAAACTGTCTTCAGACAAACATTGGCTTTATGGCTTGGCAACTGGGGATGAGCACCGTGCCCTAGAGTCAGACACGACTGGACTAAATGTCGAGGGGAACCTGTACCTTTATTAATCCACAATATAAAGATGATCATAATCTGTGAAGGTGATCTGTATGTGTGATGAGCAAGAAGCCAAGAGCCAGGAGATGCATGATCCATTTCTAACTGACATAACAGCTTAAATGAAACTCAGACCTCTGGGACTGGAATCTATGAGAGCAGCACACAATAATGCTTTCACACATTATAGTACTTTCTCTATGCTCCACACCACAGTCAGGATCTTGCCTTACTGCTTTTCTAACAATGAAGGAAAAATTAGAGTCTTACATTTAATAGTATACTTCATGGGATCTCATGTAGGTTCACACCTAATGATAAAAAAGGGAGGGAGGAAATAGAGCCACACATATTTTATGTATCTGTGTGCATAGATGCTATCTGTTGTATGGCGTTTGACCGTCCTATGAATGATAGCAACTTTAAGCTATGATGAACAGACAGAACTATAATGCCGTTGTGGCAAAAGATCTCGACGTAGAAGGACGAAATGTGACTCTCATTCAAACACACCCTACAAACTGGTTGAAGTACTTCTCTGTTCTCTCATTTTCAAGAAATGTTTTGCCATAAAGCATTCAATTTTGCAATAAGAATAAAATGCAACAATACTATTTCCACACGAGAAAGAGCAACCTCTGAGGCAGGCACTGGGAGCTCATCAGCTGTAGGTCTG